AATAAGACTGGACCCAGTACTGACCCCTGGGTCAGACCCCTGGGTCAAACCCTCTAGCCACAGGCCTCCAACTAGACTCAGCACCACTGACCACAACTCTGAGCTCTGTCCTTCAGCCAGTTCTCAACACACCTCACTGTCCACTCATCTGTCCCACACTTCCTAGGCTTCCCTATGAGGATGTGGTGGGATACAGTGTCAAAGCTTTGCTGAAGTCAAGGTAGACAACATCCACTGCTCTCCCCTCATCCACCCAGCCTGTCATGCCAGAAATGTCAGTTCCTGTAAATCTATTTATGTGTTTGAGAGTAGAGTTACATATTTGCTTTGGATTTACAGGGGTGAAGTTGAAGCAAAGATACTGCAGCTTATCCAATACTGTACAGCAGGCTAATGTTAGTAGGCATATAGTTCAAATTGCCCTATCACTTTGGCTGCTTAAATGTTTCTTGTTTGCTGCACACTTCATTTTTGACTTGTGCCGCTGAAAAGACAATCATGTTGTCAATATGATTGGTATGCAGCATATAAAGCCACCATACAGCCTTCATCTGTTTTCCCTGTGTTCCTCAATTTCGATGCTTTTAGGATGTATCTATTCTGAGACCAGTCAAATAATTAAGAATTTTAATTTAGGAATGGAAAAACAGAACTACCTAAACTCATCTGATTAGCAGATCAGGACGTTTCAGGAATTCATTGGTGGGTGTAGGAACGTCAGTCTTCAGACTATTTCATTTTAATCAAGTGTTGACAAGCACTTCCATCCACAAACTGTCTGCTTGCAGGCTTCTGAAGTCTTCTGTGTGTAATGAAGTACTGATGAGGCTTCAGTACCTGGCAGATAAGTTGACTAGCAGTATTGGTAGAAGCTGACCTGGGAGGAGTGTCTGCTGCTGACTGTTACGAAACAAGCAGGAAATGCCACCTCTGGAACTGCCAGTCTGATAACAGGCAGAATGCTAACTGTTAATAGCCTTTAAAATGTAGTGAAGTCGGGTTTTTTTTAACAAAAATAATATTCTAGTTTCTGTTGTTGCTGGGATCTTCTTGTTGGGCTGATAGTTCCTTTCTCATGGAAAGTGCTGAACCTAGGGAGATAGGTAAGAGGAATCTGGGGTACAAATGCCGTTGAACAGTAACAGTGAGAAGAAATTACCGATTTTTTTTTTTTTTTTTTTTTACTAAATTCACAGACTTGCAAGGGAGGTGGCAAAATCACATGTGAAATCCTGCAGACCTCCAGCCTCCCTCTCCCCTGAAAATCCAGTGTGTAGGATTGAACCTGATGTTAAATGGCTTAAGGGATTACTGGATCACTGAGAGATGGTTAATTATTCATACAAGTGTCAGCTGACTTGGACACATGGTCTGTATCACATGGTTCATTTTGTAATTAAAGTCCAAAAAATACTATTGGGTGCTGGAAAATAAATGAGCTTGATCAGTTTTTCTTCCTCCCTGTTAAGAATGAGAAGAGGCCTTTGATTCTTTCGTCTTTTTTATATAAATCTCTTCTGCCTCTGGCTTTTTCCTTTGTAATTCCCAGTCCTCTGCTTGAGAGCTAATGGAAAGCACTGTTCAGCACCTCTCTTGCTGTTTAGTCACTTGGGATGATTGTTGTTCAAATGCCACAAAGGAGTGTTTCCCTAGTTCCGTGGAAGCAGTATTCTCAGTAATGAACAGTAAGTATGTGAGGAAGAGGTGGTATTCAGTTTTGTCAGAAACAGTGACCTTCCCTGCAATATATACTTCTAGTGTCACATTAAAAGAAACACCGATCTGACCATTCCTTTCTTTTAAAAATTACCCCGAGGAAGCAATGCTTTGAGCACATCGATAGTGGTTTCCTAACCATACTGTTAAGAGAAGTATCTAATACATGCTTTTTGTAGCACTAGTGGTAAAATAATAACACAACTCTTTAGTAATTTTTCCTACCTTTTGATATCAATGCTCACATCCAAACTGAAGAGTAACATGAACGATCAGTCAGATTTAGACAGGCCAAACATATATTCAGTCCAGTATTAATTTTCATTGAATGTCTGATGAATCCTAGAAGGCCCGAAAGAAAATGGGAAATCTTTAAACTCCTCTTTATTTTTTTCAAATGAGGCTCTTGATACAGTAAGAAATTGAGAACCTTGATGGAAAGAAATAATCAGTTATAATTATCATTAGAATATCAAAAGTATGAATTACATAGGAAAAATGCAAAAGATTGTATAGGTGAAAAAATACGATATTTTGCTTAATAAAGTACATTAGCTGTGTTAGCAGCAAAGATGGAATCCCTAGTGACTAAATTCCCCATCTAAATAGGAAAAGTAGTATTAGGACTGTCCAACTAAGGTGGCAGCAGTTACAATGAATGTTAAAGATGGCAGGCACAGAGGGAGACTGCAAGAGTACAGGTTGTGATAATGAAAATTTTGGTTACTCAGATAGGTCAGTTGTTGCTTTGAAACAAGAAGGGTTTAATCTTTTAGCTTCAGAAATGGCTGTTTCATGGAGCAGCTATTCAGGGAGCTTTTAGGAGGAGCACTGTTTCATTTGGTCTTCAGGTGTGCTTGGGAGACCTTCAAAATTGTACAATATGACCATGGTTAGAATATATGTGTACTTAGATTCAATATGTTTGCAAAAACAATTAAGAAAAATTAGTCCATTACAGCAGCATTTAGTCTCAAGGAGATGAATGACAACATTGGGGAATTTTAGTAAAAACAAGAAAAGGGTAACGTGCAACATGGATATCTTTTAAATACACAATGTTTTAAAGCTCAGAGTAGATCACAGGGAAGGCTTTAAATGAATGAAGAAGATTATATAGAAAAGTCTACTGGAAGGCATCCTTCCAAAAGTTGAACCTGTATCCAAATGAGGAAAAGTTGAACATAAACCACTCAAGAAGATTAAAAGAATTTTGAGGAGAGACTTGCAAAAAGCATAAAAACAAGTAAAATGCTTTCAAATGCAGCACAGGTGAGAACCCTGCAGGAGAACACATGGCCCAGAGGTGACCAAGGTGTAAGAATGCAAAGTAGGTAAGGCTATAGCAGAAAAAACTTAGGAAGTGACTTGTGTCTGCTAAAATGGGATAAAGAGAGGCTTTTAAAGCTGAAAATGTCTCTTTAAGGGAGCTGAGCTGGAAGACCTCTCATACCAAAGTACTGTCTGCAGAGGTGTTAAAGCTGACTGATAAAATGAACAGTAACAAATTGCTGGGATTTACAGTAACACCCAAGATTTCTACAGGAACATGAGTCAGCTGTGTTAATAGCTGTGCTGTGTACTCTGTTGCTTAAAGCTGCCTTAATACCAGAGAAATGGAAGGCAACAAACTTGATGACACATCTTAAAAGAGCTTCCTGAAGATCAACAAGTCTGATTTTCAGTTCTACTAATGGTAGAAACAGACTAAAGAGAGGGGAGCTGGTGGACATATGCTCATATCTGGTGAAGAGTCGGCTTTTGTGGAGGGAAATCATATCTTGTAAAAAAAAAAATAAAAAATTCTTGAAGAAGTTACTGAGTTACTGAGTACATGGGCAAGTGGTAAGATTCCTTATACCATACCGTATTTGGATTTATAAAAACTTTCAACAAAATCTTTTGTAGAAAGCTTTTAAAGAAAGTAAATTCTTGCTGGAAAAGAGGGCAAGTCTGTTTCCCATCACTTAGTCAATTCTGAATTACTAAAGGAATAAATCAGTTTTCTTGGTGGGTAATTCTGTGTTCAACATAATCAGAAGTGATTTGAAAAAAGCAATAGATGATTAGATAACACTTTGTTGATGATACCAACTTATTCAGGAGAAGAAAAAATTACTGCAGAGAGCTGAGGAAAAGTTTTACTATACCGAATGATAAAATAGATGAAATGGTAATAAATACAAAGTAGTATCCATGGGAGAATTTCACATGTACAGTGATGGGCTCTAAAATGTTACTATTATGATGCAGTAAAAAGATACTGGTGTTACTGTGAGTAACCCAGTTCATTTTGTTAGGAGTCAGAAAGGCAAGAGGCAAATTAAAATTTAATAGGAAAGAAATAAAGAAGAAAACCAGAAACACTGTGCCTCTCCGCATACCTTTAAAACTTTATGTGGTTTTGATCATTCCAAAATAGAAGGTTTAAATAGAATGAGACAGTACAGAGGCTGTCAAGGTCAATGGAAGATATGAAATGGCTTCTGTGCAGAAGAGTAACTAGATTAGGATTTAGCTAGATTAGGATTTTGGGGGCTGGAAAGAAGATGATTTAGGCAGGGTATAGTGGGAGCCTGTGAAATCATGAATGGCATGGAAGGAGCTAATAGGGAACATATGTTCACTCTTCCTTGTCTTGAAAAAACTACAGGGAAGCAAATGAAATTACCAAGTGACAAGCTGAAAACAAAAAAAATGGAAGAATTTTTTTGGCAATGCCTCATTGAATACGTGGAACTCACTACCACAGAACATAGTGGACATTACATGGGTTCAGAAGAGAATCAGACAAATCAATGGAAGAAAAAACTCTCGGGTCACTAAGTATGTAGAAACCATCTCTGGCTCAGGTTTCCTAGAAGCAGAGGGCATATTCTGAGGATGTGTTGTTTGCCATATACCTGGGGAGAGAACAGTCTTGGAACTATTTCCATAACTTCATAGTTCGTAGAACATCTGAAGAACAACTTCTGAAGAAGTATTTTTCACTCATTTTTAAAAATCACAACCTGCCAAACAATCCTCCTTCACATTTTTGAGAGTTTCACTGGGTTCTGGTTTGAAATTTGCTAAAGTAGTTAGAAGATTTACGTTAACGTTTTTCAGATTGTTCCAAGTTTCCAGAGAGAAAATTAGTTTTGCCTAAAAGGCAAAAATGGCACCTTATTTCAGGCTTACTTAAAAAGGCAGGTAAAATAAGGCACTTCACGAGCTTGGCAGCCATGATGAGCTTGTCCAGAAAACTGCAATTTCTTCAGACTCACCCTGATAGGTTCAGGTACTTTCTTGTTGCTTAACAAAGAATGTGCTGAAGTTAAACACCAATTCTCTTTTCTGTTTTCTTCTTGGTAGTTATGGTGTCCTGCTTTGGGAACTGCTAACAGGAGAAGTACCATTCCGAGGAATTGATGGTCTTGCAGTAGCATACGGTGTTGCCATGAATAAACTTGCCCTTCCAATCCCTTCCACATGTCCAGAGCCTTTTGCCAAACTCATGGAAGGTAAGCCAGCTGAGGTGTGAGTATGGTTTGTGCTGTTTCTAGGGTGCTGTTGAGCATTGCCTCTTTGTGTTGGTTTTGATACTTCAGAGCACAGATTTCTCAAATGTGTTATTCAGTGGTGCAAGTTGTTATGGGAGCTAGGCTTGGCTGTAGTGTGCTGTGACAGTTACCCTATTACAAGGGTAGTATGTGAAAGAAATTTCCCTGCATTTTTTATAAACTGGCTTTATAGGAAAGTGGGAGCTATTGCTGTCATCATCTATCTTGTTGTGTTCTAGTAGTGAGGGCTCACCAGCACTTCACATATTTTGGTCTAGCTTGAAGTCTTCAACTTGTTAGGAAATTCAGAGCTTGAACACCTTGCTAGGGAGTGCCTGATTTAGAATGAAGCTTCATCTTGCTGCCGTTTCAGGGAGAGGGTTTAAATGTGGCTTTGACATTTGAAAACAACCCAAATTTTCGGTCAGAATGATGTGATTTTCTGCTTTGTGTGTGGAGATAGTTCATGCATAAGGTGGGCTACATATGGATGAAAGAAATATAGGAGTTTGTCATCAGAGCTGCTGTAGTTATTGAAAAGGATTTTGAGGAAGCTTTTTGGGGTGTACCTATGTGGCCTGCTCTGATGGCTATTGCAAAAAGGCTTACAAATCTCCTGAGCTTCAATTGTTCTTGCCTCCTACTCTCACAGTAGTACCTTTAGTGTTTTTTTCATTGCTTGTTTTCCCAAGGATTTCCAAGTGTTTATATCTAATAAACATTTTTATGCTTATCTGGCAGAAATGAAAACTGAGGTAAAGAGAAATTAAGCATGTTTTATAGTCTTAGTGAGCAAAGAGTGAGTCTGAACATAGAACAGATATTCTGTGGCCTCTGGTGGTGTTTTTAGCCCCAAGAAGAATTTGATTTATGCAAGAAAATGTTTCTGATGGATTTCTCTGCTTTTAGAATACTTTTGCATTTCTATGGTCTTTTCTGTAGGTTACAGGCTTCAGTTGAGTTAAAGTAGAAAATTTTACACACTGTTATGCTAAAAAAGAAATGTCCTACTGGATAGTAAACAGCAGCAGTGTTGCAGGTATGGTAGCTTGGAAGTGATGTAAAGCAAGAAGCTGCATCTGAAAGAGTTAATGGAACTGCCAGCTCAGTGTTGTGCCAGGGCTGTTTATTTTGACACAGTTCCCTATAACAAGGATCCTGGATTTCTTAAATGTGAGGTATCTGCTGCTGGGGTTAAAAATAATGCCCTCTATTGGTAAAGTCAGGTAGAGGCATATGGCCTGTACTTGCACCCAGCAGCGCAGGGGTGAGCACCCACATGGCTTTGGAAAGCTTGGCTTCTCCAGATGCAGGGAGAAGAGAACAGGAAAACAATTGCTTTCTGCCCCTTCACCAAAACTGTTTTTCAAACAGGCTGTTTCCCATCTCGGGTGAACTCTTGTTCCCTTAATGCAGCTTTTACTTTTGAATTACTGCCCTGGTGGTCTTGACTGAGACAACAAAGCTGAACTTCCCCTCTTCACAGAAAAGACTTGTATGTTACAACTGTCCTCATTAGTGCAAATAATGGCGGATCTAGCCCTGGGAAAATAAAAGCCACAGGCCACCTGCATAGTTATCCTGTTCACTCATTCATGCATTTGGCTGGCTGCAGTATTTTGTTTTACTTTGGGTCATGTTTGCTTTGCCATGCTTAAAACCTGAGGTAAAGAGGCAGGGATTATGGCACTGACAGTCCAGCTGTATCACCCATTGCTACTAATTGATCAGCAGCGGGGGACCTTCAGAGCACTCTTTAACATCCTCAGTTCTCCATTTTGATAAGAGAAGCAGTTTGAAGTCCATAAACGCAAATGTGCTCCAGCTTATGCCTCCTGGAGCCTGAATCAGATGCTTAAATACCAGCATCTTGATACTAGCAGTTTTGAAACCAAAGCTCCCAAATGCAAAATCTCAGTAACGCTAAAATCAAAGAAAAGACCTGTGAAACCAAGCCTCAGCAGTTGCACAGATTTTGTGAAGTGTTACTTATTTTTAATTACAGCTGCTCCTTGGTGTATTTCAATCTACCAAACTGATGAATGAATTAATGTCTTTTAGGACATCACGAAGATTTTTTTTAAGAATGTTTCTTTTTTTTTCCAACCGTAAGGTCTAGGAAACTTTAGAACATTTTTATAACTCTTGCCTCCTGCTGCAGTAATGTATGTCTTCAATCCAGTGACTGTTTAGAGCAATGATAGTATGAACATATTGAGAGACACCCACGTGTTAAGTTTCTTCTGTTCATGCACAAAAGGTGTATCCTCTAGAAATATACTTGAATGCTAAGTTTTTCTGTTTGTTTCTTCTCAAATGTTGGCATGCAGGAGTTTAGCAGTACTAAAGAGAGTAAGGATACTTGTTGAATAAGAGCCTGTGCGGGTATGGGATGATACAGAATGAGAAAGTGACATTTTCTGCAGGAGTAGAAATAAGGGTGAAGTAAGAGGGAGGACTGAATGAGTAAGAATTTCCTATTCAAAAGTGTTGTTAAGTCAAACATTTTTACTTAATGGCTTTTAAAAAACATGTTCTTAATGATTTCATAGCTTGAGATGTTACTTCATACCATTTTCTATTTCTGTTTCTGTTTTCAATGTTCAATTCCCATCACTGTAAAAGGAGTATCTTTTTGTACTATTGCTAGTTGAGTTGCCTCGTGGTAAGATGGATACCTTAAATTCTGCATTTTTAGAGCTCTGTAATTGGGTAAGTCATTGCATTAGATTATAAATGAAAAAGCTTCTTTGTCTGTCGTTTCTCTTAAAAGCAAAAGACAAAAGCCTGATCAAACAATTTTCTTTCAAAAAATAAAAAAGAACCATTAAAAATAAGAAAACTCCAAATGCACTATTTGATGTCATTATTTACTTGAACCTCCTATTTTCACTCATTATGTGCCCAGTCTGCTTTGCAGGAAAGATTTTAAGTTCTGTAGAATTGACTCATAATACCTCAGCTTAGTATTAGAGTTTGGCATTAGAAAGAACTCTGATAGATACCCTTCTGCAGTATGGCAGTTAACTCTGCAGTGTAAGTGTGATAAAAGAACTATTTGCAAGAGTCTTGCATAGTATCTCCACTCTGTGAGCACATACAACTTAAAGCAAAATATTGAAGGATGTTATTTATGATTCTTTAATATATGCTTGAAAATGTGACTTTCTGTAAAATTAGTAAACCCCTATTTTACTTGGCATATTATTGCAGCAGAACCTAGAAGACCGGGTAGTTCAAGATCTTCAGTGATGTTGGATATTGTATAAGCATGAAAGGGTGAATTCCATACTTGGCTTATGATTGGACAATAGTCAATACAAGTGGGAAATGGGAAAGATGGTGTAACACATAGTGTGCATGCCACTCTTAGCCACTGGGGATCAGTAAAGTACTACTCATCCTCTCAAACCTCCATACTAAGAGATACTTAACAGTTGCTTGTCTTTGTCCTTTTCTAGATTGTTGGAATCCTGACCCACACTCTCGACCTTCCTTTGCCAGTATCCTAGACCATCTCACCGCCATAGAAGAGTCTGGTTTCTTTGAAATGCCCAAAGATTCCTTCCACTCCCTTCAGGAAGACTGGAAGCAAGAGATCCAAGAGATGTTTGATCAGCTCAGAGCCAAAGAAAAGGTAAGTAAAGGAAAACACTCCATGCTTGTGCTCTCTAGATTATCATTTTCCCATTTCATAATTCTAACAGGGATCATTGTTTAGTGCATCCCAGAGTTAATTTTGTATGTGCTTTACTGGAGCTTGTAATAAGTCCCTGGATCAATGGCAGGTTATGATGCACACAAGGGCAGAATCATGAGTAAAATAAATATTTGCATCCTGAGCTGCTACTCTTTCTAATATTGTAGTGAGCTGCCATTATACACTGTGCAAACTGCTATGATGAGTTGTCTTCATTGTTTAATGCATTTGATAACTATTTCACTGTTAGCATCTTGATTGAGAAGCCAAATGATAACTGTTAACAGTAAAAGTAGGAGGTGTAGTTTCAGCTCATACACTCTAGCAAACATTGCAGCTTTGATTCTGTTAGGCTTGTGTTTTCCAAGTTTTGAGCACAGCCAAAGTGGATAGACTATAATAAACATGAGTGCTAGCAGGTGAATGGACCAATAACTGATATAATTGAAGCCTGTTTGGGTAAATAGCAGGAAACAAAAATGCTGGCAGGAATAAAAGGAATTATGACTGTCAGCCTTAAAAAGTAGAAGTGAAAAAGCTGAAGTTTTCTTCAAGCATACTTGTAGAAAGCACACCTTCCTGCATCCATCTTAAGGTCCTTTCAGAGACTGTCTTTACAGTTGTTGGTATGACATACTGCAGTGGAATCACTAAAATAATATTTATTCTTCTAAGTTCATGGTCTCTCGCCTATAACTGAATTTGTAATAAGCAGCCAACTTGATTTGGGCTCAGAAGCTGGGTTTAAGAGGCAGAGAGAAAGAAAAGGAGACCTTGGGGCAGGGGAGAGAAGTCCTACAACAGTACGTTAAACATTTCTAGTCACATATTATAGTAGCTTTTGGGAAAAATAAAATAGCTAATAGGCATTTCCCTGCTGCTATTGTCCCATGGCATAACTGTGTTAGAACAGTTTTTGAAAACCAGAAACTTGAGCAGACAAACAGAAGACCAAACAGTAGTAGCTAGACTGCCCTCAGGTTTTGAGTACTGTATTCCTCTGTAGCAATGGGCAAAGAGAATTTTACATCCTGTTCACCTCATGAGTAAAATGCACCAAAATTCCGTGGTGATGGGACAGGTAACAATGATGTTATTAAACAAATACAAAAAAAATCTAAACTAAAATCTATCTGACAATCTGTTTGAAATTCAACTTGAAGTCTTCAGTTTTTACCTTTGGCAGTGGAATTAGCCAGCTGGAGATAATTAATCTGAGTGCTTGTTTTGTCCTTGTGGTGAGAGGAGAGCAGTGCAGTGAGAAGACATTTTGAGATTTCAGGGACAATTTTGGTTGATTCATTTTGCCAACAAGGGAAACATTGAAAAGTTTTGCTTATTCATCTTTATGCCTAAGGAGCAGCCACGCTTGGTGGAAAACGATGGGAATGACCTCCTGACGATGTTTTCTTTTTTGTGTTAGAGCTGTGGGTTTTGCTATTTTAATGATGCACGAGATGGCAAGTTTATTTTTAAACAGTTTAAGTCAGTACTGAACATAGGTACTTACTGAACAGGAAAGTAAGGATTAATTCTTTTCAATGATACGAATAAATCTTCCAAAATGGATTCCCATATGCATGGTACTCTCCAATGACTCTTGTAAACATGTTCATGTCAGATATCCAGCATATTTTTTCATGACACTGAATTTAGGATTCAGTGCCTTTTCATAGAATCACAGAATGGTTGAAGTTGGAGGGACCTCTGGAGGTCATGGGGTTCAATGTCCCTATTCAAGCAGGGCTATCTAGACCCAGTTGCCCAGGACCACTTGCAGTTGGCTTTTGAAGGAGGAAGACTCCACAACCTCTTTGGGCAACCTGTGTCGGTGCTCAGTAGGCTCACAGTAATAAAGTGTTCAGAGGGAATCTTCTGTGTTTCAGTGTGTGCCTGTTGCTGTTTGGCCTGTCACTGGGCACTGCTGCAAAGGGCCTGGCTCTATCTTCTTTATACCCTTCCTTCAGGTTTTTATATACACTGATAAGATCCCCCTTTCCCCCCACCCAAGCCTTCTCTTTGCTAGCCCATCTCTCTCAGCCCTTCCTCATAGGAGGGATTCTCCAGTCTCTTAATCATCTTCATTGCCCTTCTTTGGACTCTTTCCAGTATATCCATGTCTGTCTTGTACTGGAGAGCCCAGGACTGGACAAAGGACTCCAGGAGTGGCCTCACAAGTGCTGATGTCCAGGCTTTAATACTGATATGAAGGGCCTTGAATAGCAAGCATAGAAATTCCTGGGGGCTGTTTTAGGGTTTTGGCTTTCAGCGGAGCCTTTAAACAGTGGTGCTAGCAGTGCTGTGAGCACAAGTCATTGCTGCTGTACCTTCAGGATAGGTAATGTTAGTCTTAACCCACAGGCCACAAGGTAGCATTTTGTTTCTCCTTTCTTATCTCACTGCAGGAGCTGCGCACATGGGAAGAAGAGCTGACTCGTGCTGCTGTTGAACAGAAGAACCATGAGGAGTTGCTACGAAGGCGGGAACAGGAGCTGGCAGAACGTGAGATTGACATCCTGGAAAGGGAGCTCAACATCATCATCCACCAGCTGTGTCAGGAGAAGCCTCGAGTGAAGAAACGCATGGGGAAGTTCAAGAGGAACCGGCTGAAGTTAAAAGATGGCAATCATATCAGCCTGCCTTCAGGTTGGTGACATGTTAGGCTGTGTCAGGTGAAATGGGAGGAACAGGTGAACCTGTAGCTTTGGTAGCTCCTTTCTACTCGTAACTTACACATTAGAAAGTATTGGATACACTTTGGGAAAAACGTGCTTCTTTGGGATCCAGAAACTAAATTGGATGCTCCTGTGGCTAGCATTCCTCAAAGTTCCAAGTATGAAGGCCAGAAGTAAATTTGAGATGTTACATGTTTGTTAGTCAGTGGCTCTATATGGTTCACGGTAAAAATGTTGCTGTTGCGTTTTAACATATTCATACTCAAAATGATCAGTTTAATAAAGGAGGTACATAAAAAATGATAGAGATTCTTGCTCTGGGAATATTTGACATAATGATGCAGCAGAAACTGTAATTGCTGGATTTCTTGGTGTGGGAATCTAAAAATTGTCAAAAATACGTTGATAGCTGTGAGACTACAGCCCTGCATTGGTCATATTAACACACCAGTGACTTCTAATACCACCGTTCTAGAAGAAATGTTAGATATTGGGCAGGTGCCAGGGAAGTCACTCTTAAGAGTGAAGATGGTGACTTTCAGAAATACAGAATCTTTAGCATTTCTGCTGTGGATTCTGTATGGAGATTGAAATTCGTAAAAGAACAAAAATGTGGGGTTTGTAAATCACCTAAGGCTCATCATTACCACAAAGTGATGGCTTACACTATATTTGTTGTTTTCTGAGAAAGTTTGGCTGTTCAGAAGAGCATGATAACATGTGTATGTGAACTCTGCTTTTCTTTAGGTCTGTAAACACCTCTTGCTGGTGGTTTTGCTTAGCTTAAGAAACGGAGATATAAGTTGAAAGGAATTTATATAGGGATATACTTTGGCATAAATGTCAGTCAACACATGAGGATCTATGTGTGTATACATCTCACACATGCACTAAGAAGATATATCTTCATGAGTGTGAGTGCACATCTTTGTTCTGAAGTAAATGCATGTACAGCGGGGGACAGCAATTAGCTGTAAAACTTCATTTCTACATAGGTCCTGTAGATTGTGCTCTTTGAAAGTTACCATAAATTATTCTTTCTTTTTCCTTACATTAAAAGAAGAATTGTAACTGCGTCTTTCTGGTTTTGTCTTCATTTTTTTTTCTTTTTCTTTTGGTAAACAGATTTCCAGCATAAATTTACTGTGCAGGCTTCTCCAACGATGGATAAAAGGAAAAGCTTGATCAGTAGCTGCTCCAGCCCTCCTGCAAGTCCTACCATTATTCCCAGACTCAGGGCCATACAGTGTAAGGAGCTCAATGTAGTATTGAATTTGGAAAATGTGCAGTCTGTCAGCGTGGTAAGATGTCAAGATTGCATATATAGGACAGGACTGTAAAAAAAAAAAAAAAAAAAAAAAATTGCTTTCTGTCCTGCATGTATGCATTTAGAGAGAAAAATGGAGTGTGGTGGTGATGCGGGCAAGTATCACCTTCTTTGGAGTCCAAACCTTACTTACCCAAGTTCTTGAAATATTGCTGTTTGATTGTATAGAAATTACATTCCTTAGGTGTACAGATTAATTTATTAAAAGTACTGCAGACTAGATCTGTGAAACATCATTGAAGTGGATTAAGTTACTGTTGGAAGGAAAGAACAACAAGGGCGCTTGTCATGAAAATAGCATTACCATACTAAACCAGAATTAGGCAGACAAGCATATATTAGAAGTACAAAAGGAATGTTAATTCATTTGTAGTGTTTGTATTGGCTATCATGACACTTGCGTATCTGGTATCAAACTGGTGGTTCTAAAAGAGAAATCAGTGATGGAATAAAGTTATAAAGCTTATCTATAATAATTTTGAAGGGATCTGGTTGTTAGGTATCTGTGTGATTGATAAATGGTCAGAATTATGGGAAAGTAGCCTGAATGGATGTTTTCATTACTATTCCTGTTCAGGCCTATGTTTTATTCTTTATGTTGCTGTGGAACCAATTCTTTAATTTGGGTATCTATTTTTTCTTTCCCATTTCCACTGTTCTTCCCACTTGTGAAGTGGCTCCTGCCGAAAGCAGTAAAACGTGGGGACGAAGCTCAGTCCTTCCAAAGGAAGAAGGAGAGGAAGAAGAGAAGAGAGGCCAGAAGAAAAAGGGACGCACTTGGGGACCGAGCTCACTTTGTCACAAGGAACTAGGTGCAGGAGAAGATGGGTAAGAAAGGGCCTGGAACCAGACTGGTTTCTAGGTTCTAAAACTGGTTATGAAAGTAAACTGACCTCTAATTAACATCAAGTAAAGTCAGTCATGAAAAGATTATACAGTGATTATTCACCCTTCTGCATTTGTCTCTGAGCATAAGGAATATGTATGGCAGCATAGGGTTGCTGTGCTAAATTGCAGAGACTGGATGAAGCTTTATGTTGAACTAGTGTTGAGACAGTTCAGTTGTGATCTTATTCTCAAATATTCTCAGTCTGATTTTACTCTCAAATAATCTCAAGGATATATGGCAAAGCCTTAATTGTCTTTAAACTTAGCATTGATTAGTCCCAGACTGTTGCTGTGGCATGGGTGATCTTTACCCTGTTTAAGTTTTCACGCTGGTGGTGTTACTGATTTTACAGAAGGTGACATTTGATGTAGCGTACCAGTTAATCTCTTAAAAACTTGCAAGCTAAATGGGGGTGAGCCTAGGAACAGGCACTTTTATTCATGACAGTATTGTATTAATGCCTCAACATAGTTGAGGTTGCAGAACGTTATTAAACACCAGAGGTGCCATGTTACAGTTGTGGGGAAGTTGTTTGCAATTTGCTGAGCCAATAAGTCTTGTCACCTTATCACTCCTAAAGAGAGGTGCTTTTGACTTCCCAATAGAAAAAGGCGACAGAGAAGTAACTCAACCATAAGACAACAGAGTAATAACCTTCCTGTTATTTAATCTAAATAGATCACAGGTAAGAAATCTGTAGGTTCCTGAGTTGTCATGCTGGTGATTGAAATAGCTGATTTTGCTGGTAGTGCTTTCAAATTGTTCCAGTTGCTCTTTCCTTGGAGCAGTAACAGATAATACTGCTGTAGTAGGAAGGTACTCTAAGTTGACATGTATTGAATTGTTTTCAAGTGCATAATGTTGTCTAATTAAGAGGATGTGCAGCTATTCTCTGCACAGGTCTTTGGGGTCTGCTTGTAATTTGGGGGGGGTGGGGGGGAGAGAAGGAGCAAAAAATAAAAGAGAAATATGAAGATTTTATAACCTTGAGGCAAACACGGCAGGGCTTGAAGTTATTCTGGTAGCTATTTATCTTTCTGTTCAGATTGAGCTGTGCTTTGTCAGTAGCAGCAAATCTTCAGTCTGTTTTTTGCAAGGGAAGATTGCTCTGAGGAGTCATAAGGAAGCAAACGAAGTTGATGTGTTCTGCTGTACAATAAAGGGCAATTCCCAAGGCCCTTTAGATAACTATGACTGTAAAGTGAAGACTAAACTGAAGATTACCGCTGGCTATCACTTACAACTTTGCTATCTCTGCATATAGAGAACAGAATACGTGTTTTCTCAGCTCCATGGAAATCTCTCCTTCCTCAATAGTTGTCTACCCATATTGTAAGAGCTTTGACATTTACTTTTGGAGGTGATCATACTGCTAACATGGATTGTTTTCACTTACCAGCTTTCCCTTAATATGCTGCTCTATTTATAGTATTTACCCTAACTTGCTGTATACATGGATAATTTAGCTACAACATACATTAGTTGGTCGGTTGTGTTACATAGCTGAGTATGGTGTGGAGGGAGTAAGTCAGAACAGACCCACATGCTGGATTGCGTCTCTGTTGTAAAACCATGTGGTTGTATGTCTTGACAAGTAGGATTCAGCACTATGCTATGTGGATTCAAGTTCATAGCAGGGTACTGCTTTTTTTTTTTCCCTGGTGGTAGGTTTGCCTTGGTTTAAAAAGAAAATGTTTCATCTGATTTTTGTAGTGGTGATTTCTATCATTCTGTGTTTATAGCTGTTGGTTATCAGCAGAGGTCTTTTGACTGCCATGGTGTAACAAATGAGGGAGGGACTTTTTGACTTTTTTTGTATTTTAAGGTGCTGTAAAGATGTTGCAAAATGTCTTGCTATGTGAGGACTTAAAATCTGTGTAATTAAGATGAATACATGCATACCTTAAGTAAGCAATAGAGAATATAGAAAGGGGGAATAAAAATTGATTGTGAGCATGGCACATTTTCTCCCATCTTTCTACTGTTTCAGTCTGAAAGCTCTGGTAGAAGGATACAAACAGTGGTCATCCAGTGCACCGAACCTTGGGAAGATCCAGAGAACTGTACCTGCTTTTCCAGGATTCACCAGCTTAGCCGAGATGGGTAAAGGAATTCCCTGGACTTTATGTTCTCTTTCCCACTTCCATTCATATTTGAATGAACCTCTCCTTTCCTGATCTTCACCTGGTACCTAACAGCAATGTTTTCATTTTGGTGATATCAGTTTTTCTTTTATTTTTTGTGAAGTAACTACTTTCTCCTTCTGGATTTTCTTTTTGTTCACCTCTCTGCTTGTGCTTCTTACCTGTCAAGATAGCAGTCTTTTCTTAATTCCCCTCTACCTCTCAGCTCCTTTCCTGTTACTGGTTTTTAGATGTGGAGCATGGTTACATCTTCACTTTCAAGGAGAGAGCCTTACAATTTTCCTACTTTTTGCTGCTCACTCCCAAACATATAAATGTACTCTAGAGTAACTGAGGTGTAGGTTGCTTCTGTAATGCTGTTCTGCAGTTGATCCCCAGTAGATTAATGTGTTACTAATTTCTTCCACTTTGATAGTGTTTCCAGTTACTTGTCTCAGCCTATCGGCTTTGGAGACAATAGCGTGTGAGTATTTGGCAGTTGGTGAATGATGCTTGCAATGAGGACAGTTGCATCTTCTGAGGAGAAGCTTATTTTCATGTATATTTGTAAGACGATGAAATTTGCCAGTGAAAATGTTACATCCGTGCAAAGTCTGTTTTCGTTTGCTTTCCAGATGATGAAGACAGCGAATGTCTTAATGGGGAGGGCAAAGTGCATCCTTCACCTGGGCACAATCAGTCATACCTCTGCATCCCATTTCAGAAGAGTGAAGACTGGGATGGCCCTTCTAGTGATGCCAATGAGGAGTCCACCCCTGTGAACTCTGCTACTAGTACCCCGCAGCTGACACCCACCAACAGCCTCAAACGTAGTGGCTCCCACCACAAACGATGTGAGGTTGCATTACTTGGTTGTGGAGCAGTGCTGGCTGCTGCAGGCCTGGGTTTTGATCTGTTAGAAGCAGGGAAATGTCAGCTGCTGATTGAGGAGGAGCCAGAGGCACCTAAGGAAGAGAAGAAGAAGCGTGACAGCATTTTCCAGCGAGCTGGACGCCCACGCAGGAGCACTAGTCCACCTTCCCGAAAGATCTTCAAGAAAGAGGATCCCATGTTGTTGCTAGGCGAGCCATCCACATCCCTCACTCTTCTTTCCCTGTCTTCCATTTCTGAATGTAATTCCACCCGATCCCTGCTGCGCTCAGACAGTGATGAGATTGTGGTGTATGAAATGCCTGTCAGCCCAGTGACTGTCAAGGCTCCCTTGCCAGCCATTACCAACCCACTAGTCAATGTCCAGATCGAGAGGTTCAAACAAGACCCCAACCAGTCCCTGACTCCCACGCATGTGACAGTCTCTTCCCACACCCAGCAAAGCGGGCACAGGCGCACACCTTCTGATGGGGCCATCAAAGGGAGTGGACTAGTTGTCAATGGGTGCCCAACCAGTGGATGCCCTTCCAGTAGCTGTTTAACTGGAGGTCTGGGAGCAGGTAGGTTTTCAGCCATCTTGCTTTTCCTCTTCAGAATAAAGACCCAAACAGTATAATTACTTGTTAGGAAGTAAACATATTGCTTGTACAGCATCTGTTGTGATGGCCAGCCCACAAGAAGAGCTTATGGATGCTATCTTTACACAAATAATGAACAGAATAATGCAGAAATGGTCTCTGTTCTAGCATCTCTGCACTAAGGAACTTTCTCTGCTCCCTTGTGCTGTGCAGCAGAGTGCAGCATTGTTTCTTAGACAAAGATGGTCCCAAAGTACAAATATTGTGCGGTTTTGGCAGTTCCTCGGGATTCCATCTCTGTTGCCTTTATACTGTAGTTTGTAGTGCCATTATGATTTTGAAGGAAATTCTGATCTTTAAGGTGGTGAAAACTGGATCTCTAAAGCAGTTTGTGGCTGTGCCGCTGTTGCTCTTACTCCTTTGCAAGCAAGAGGGATCTTCCTGGATAGGTGGTAGTCTCACTGTTGGAGTCTTTAGGAGTGGCTGTGACTTGATAATTTAAACCATGCTTTCCTGTTTTCTTGCCCTAGTAATTCAAAGGGGGGAAAAAAACTAAACCAAAACAAAAAAAGGACTAGAAGAATAAATTCAAATCTGATTTAATCTGACTTTTCCCGATGGTAAAACAAAATGTGATGTTATCTGTTGAAGGGCAGTCTACTGTAAAATGTGGGTTAATGCAGCTGAGAATACTCATTAAAATGATATTCATGACAGTTTAAAAGTTACGTTGTGTTTATAAAAAGAAAAACCAAACACCATCCCCCACCCTGAAATGAAAACCAACCAGAAGCTTCCACCGTAGGCAGTGATAAATGGCTCTTCCAGGAACTTGGTCTTGCTCGCTGCAAACAGGTGTCACACATCCTGCTGTGCAAGTGTCTCCCTGATCCATTCAAGCTGTTAATGGGTAATATGCCCTCCGAAGGATTTGGAGAGTCCTCACCTCTGGTAGGAGGTCAAATCCATGCTCTCCAGTCTGAAAAATGAAGAAAACAAATGAGAGAATGAACAAAACTCACTGCTTGTGCTAGGTCAGTGAAACAGGTGTCTTGCAATGTGTGTTGAGAACAGTGTAGGGGTAAAGAAGCCAGTTACTTGCTTCAGACTGGTGTAATCTTGAAGATACGGAGTTTGTAGATTCTGAATGGAGGCTTTCTGCTTTGAAAATGTTTTCACAATGTACCTACAGTAAACTAAGATCTGTTGGAACCATTTAGCAGTGCCATCTAACATGTTTCCCTCTTCTCTTACATTCTCTGTTTTGGATAGGTGTGTTAAAAACACCTAGTCCAAGTAGAGATCCCAATGAGGTCCCTCGCCTGCCAGACCCCAACCTTGTTTTTCCTCCAACCCCGAGACGATGGAATGCACATCAAGACCCCACACTGGAAAGACCCAAGACATTGGAGTTCCTGCCCCGGCCACGTCCTGCAGCCAGTCGGCAGCGGCTTGATCCCTGGTGGTTTGTGTCACCCAGCAATGCGAAGGGTGAATCTTCTGCCAACAGTTCAAGTACTGATACTCCAAGCAATCTGGACTCTTGTTTTGCTAGTAGCAGCAGCACTGTAGAAGAGAGACCTGGACTGCCTGCACTGCTTCCTTTCCAGGTGGGTCTTCCTGTAGAGGAGCGGACACTGTTGGACATAGATGCTGAGGGGCAGAGCCAGGACAGCACCATTCCGCTATGCAGAAGTGAACTTAACACACACAAAGCTGCAGCATATGAACTCAAGCAAGAATTCTGGTCTTAGTATGAAATCCACTGGGGACAGTGAGCCCCTCTAAATTCAGTCTTACTTTTTGCACTGAGAATGCACTTTGAAGACAGATGAGATGGAGGGACGCTACAGAGATCATATGGTGCTGCCTCTGCTGAAGATGTGTTGTTCAACTGCCTGATTTTTGTCTGCAGTTGGATGAAACATGGCAACTCCGAGCTGCTGACTTTTGCTGTGGGGTTTTTCTGTAGTCTTCCCTGCCCTCTTATTGCAGTTTGAATCTGCAATGAGCTAAAATTATCATATCAAAGTCTTTGTCACTGACCTTGTAGGGTTTGGCACTTGCAGTAAGTATATTGGTATCTATCCTGGTATTAATCAGTATTTTCAAAACTCAAATATTACACTAGAGCAGACACCAGTGTTTGATGTTTTCCCAAGGAATCCAGGACAGAAACAAGTAAATATCTGGAGACTACCTTCTCTGAAATATATTCAGATCATTAGATAGGCTTGGGAATCATGGTCCCACCACTGAAGGAACAGAAGTAGCTGTCTTAGACTTGCTTGTTGTCTTTTGCTCATGTAATAGTGCAAGGTGGAACAGATTGCAGAGGAAGGGCATGGCATCTCCACTGATTAAGGTCTTTGAGAACAGAGTAACTAGACTATGAGGAATGAGTAGGTGTAGTTGATCCTGACTTCAAGGCCGGTTAGATGGACTTGAAGTCCCTCTCAGCCCTGTTTTTCTATGACCATGTACTTTCAAGAAGATGAAGGCTTATGGTATGGCTATTTGCTCTAGCTTGCTTTTTTGTTTCAAACTTTGGTTCCATCAGCCTTCTTTCCCCGCCCCCTGTATCCCAGGCTCATAGTCAAGTTGCCTCAGCTTTGGGAAGGGAATTAGCAGGAACTCTTTCTTTAAAGCTGTGTTGGCTTGCAGAAGTAAGTTATGTGTCCCTCACTCTTCATTTTTTTTCGTTCCTGTTTTTCGTCCTTTTTTTAGATTTCTTAGGAGTGGCCCTTGAAACCCAAGACTGTTCTTATGCACACTGATACTTGTGTAATGCTCTTTTGAAATTGAGGCTTGTTAGTAGTTGGATGGTGCAAACAGGAATCAGAACATCTGGATTCTGTTTTATTTTGTCACTGACTCACTGTGTGACCTTGGGCAAATAATGTAACCTCTGTGCCTGAATTTCCCCATCTGTAAATAATAGGAATAATACCTACCTCACAGGGGGAGGGGTTGGGACATATGAAATAGGTATAAAGTCCTTTGAGATCTTTGAGTGAAAGGCACTATAGATGTGTAAAACCTTTATTTGTGTTTAAATATGTAAAAACTTTTATCTCTGGAGCAAGAACAAGACCCCTGTCTTGAAGGAGGAAGTAACAAATAGGGTGTGCCTATGCTCACGGTTTTCTGGACAGAGACTGCAAGTGTGTCTGTGCCTCTGCAGGTACATCTTATTGGCTTTAGTGACAGCTTTACTCTTCCCACTTTTGGCATTATAACTAAGGGATGTGGCCTTTATATGAGTGTAATAGGGTAGTCTGCTTTATTGCAGGGTACGGCTTATCTGTTCACTCTTTTTGTACAGATCTGTGCTCATTTTGCTGATCTACTGACCATTTGGGTGCAAATAACTGATTTGACAGTGCTGCCAATGCAGTGCTCAGCCTGTTAGGGCAGTCCAGTCCTGTTGTGAAGGCAGTGTAGCCGAATATGTTCTCACAGCTGTCAGCCCAGAGAACTTGTGTGTTTAGATCTTTGTAACCTGATGTTGAAAACCAGCATGCATGGGGAAGTACTGTATTAAGGTTTTTTAATTCTGTTTGGGGGCTAAACCCAGCATGTTGCCATTAGTCAAATGCACCCTTTTTTCAAGCAATTATAGTATGTTTTCATGGAGAAAGGTCATACATTTCTTGTTTATCATGTTCCATGAAACATGTTTAATGGCAGAATTCCTTTTTGCTGCCTTCCCCATTGAATGCTCCAGAGCTGGCCTTAATGATGCTATGCTAGCTACTGAAGCTGGATAGACTGTTGACTGTGTAGGCAAGGTATTCTGATATAGGGCTAAGATACTTTAAAAAGAAAATTTATTTCTGACACTTTTGTTAAATGTAGACCTTTAGCATTATTGATTTCTTAAGCATTCATCCTTTTGCTTTCCATTTCTGAAAACTCAGTTTGTGATCCAGAGACTAAAAAAAAAAAGGCAAACCCCACCCAAACAGATGGTTAATTTTGATTGTGCTATAGAAACAAACTCAAGAAAAGCCCAGTCAGAGGGAGTTAAAAGCAGGAGGTTAAAACTTACCTATTCTTCGTAGTCTCCCTTACCATGTTAGAAAGTCTGAAACGAAACCGGATCAGCTGTTCTGAAATGTAATATTTTCTATCCAAAAATTATCACTGCAAATGTCATAGGAAGCATCATTTGCTCTTCGAAGACATCACCTGGAATAGCTCTGTTCGAACAGAGATTTTTAAAATCCATTCACTTGCGTGGAATGGGAGGTTACCTTTCTAGGTCACATTGTTTTAATTCAGCCCGCTAAACTTTCTGATAATTGGCCAGTTGCTTTCACTAAGTGAACCATAAGGTTTCTGACAAGTTCCCAGCAGGTGAGGCAGCTATAAAGCCAGGTTGTTCTGTCATCTCTTTTGCTTAGGAAAGTTGAGGATGAAGTATCAAACCCCCTTCCTGCTCCCTCACTTTTAGATAATTACTTGGTGAAAGTGGTGTGTAGCTGACCTATTAGAAGTATTTCCAAAGAGCACCTTCCCTAACACCAAATGGACGTTGCTACGTCAGAGGAACTGGGTAGGACAGATGACAAGTAGTCAAGGATCCACATCAGGGTTTCCAACCTAGATATTCTCTATTCCAAAGATGCCAGAAAGACTAGGTAGAAGCATAATGTTTGTTGGCTTTTTTAAACACTCCTTGGATGCAATTATCTTCACTGAATCTAGCATGTGAAATAGAATGAAGTAGTCTTTGAGCACCAACCCATAACTGTCTTCCAGTTGGGAGCCCTGTGGCTGACCTGAGGTATCAGGCAAGAGGAGTCTGTGGTGGAAGCAAAGCTATCAGCTTTAGCAATGTGGTGAGGTATTCTCTGGCAGGCAGAGGGGCTCTCAAGGCAGAGTTGTCAGGTGTTTTACCTTAGGCATCCCAAAAGCTGTTGCAACTGGTGTCCTGAGGCCCAGAGGCTATGTGCACGTTCAAGCTAGCTTGTAACCTCTCCTTATATCCATCTGCCCCATCCTGGCTTGATTTCTCTCCTTTCTTAATCGGTTGGGTTTTTTTTTCTTTCCCAGTTCTGGGAGCTGAGATGCTCCAAATCTCCAAAGGAGTGCTTCACTGTGGCCCACTGGATGCTGAGAAGATATGAGCCCATCAGCTCACAAATCTCTTTTGCTACTGGTTACTAGTGTTCCCATTTGCCAGGGAGACAAAAGTTTCAGAATATTGTTGATTGACATACCTTTCTAGCAGCGTTCTTGAGGAAGCTGGTGAAAATCTTGCTATAAAAAAATTCTAATAAATGTTTCCTAAGTATCCAAATAAGTTGCACTTTTCTCATTTTCTCAGAGAAAAAAAAAAAGATAACATGAGAGAGCAAAATCACTGAGCGATCTAAAACACAATGGGGTAAAATGTGTTAAAGTAAGTACAGGGCTCACAAAGAGGAAGCGACAAATTTTTTTAACTGATAGTAATAGTAGTAAGATTGTTGCTGAGAGGAATTTTTCTGGTCAGGAAATATGTATATATTTTCGTTTAAATATTCAGCTGGCAATTGTATCACTAGTTTATGATATGCTGATTTAGGAAATAGGAAAAAAGTTTTCCAGCCCTTCAAAATATGCTGTCCTTGTAGCCTGTTTGGTTTTCCTGTAAAATTTGGGTGGAATCACAGATGTAGCAACCAGTGCAAAAAATGACAATTTTTTTGATAAATTTCTACTGGTTTCACAGAAGTTTAGTGTGGGACGGTTAGAGAGAAGAAAGCTTTTGTGTCAAAACTAAGGTGATAATAGTTAATGGATTTTTTTTCTAATACTGTTGCTTCCTATGGACTGCACAATGCTCTGTTTTGCCCGCAAGTAAGTCTTACCTCCTTTCACTCTTTTTCAGAGGTGCAAATATAACTTTTTATAGGTATTTATTTTTTCCTTCAGATTATTATTGCAATGGGTTTGTACTCAGTAAGGGGCAGGGAACCTCAGTGAAAATATTCTTTTTGTAATGGTTTTCTAACAAAATGAGTATTTTCAATGTGAATTTTTCATTATTGATGTAGAAAGACCTGTTCTGGTTTGCCATGCTTTTGTGCTGATGAACTTTTCTGTACCTCTAGGAATAGGAGTAGTTGCCTTCCTTTTCATAGCATGCTGTTATCTGAAGGCTTTATGGACAATAGAGATGTTACTTCAAGATGTCATGAAGCCAGATACCTCTCATTCTGTTGAAAGTGAGGCAGTAATGGTCAAGTAGAGAAAGGTCTCTGCCATCTGGAGTGTTCTGTTAAATAGAGAATGACAGGAAACCTCCCATCTTGAGTCACCTTTTGATCTTGAGCATAACTTTTATTTGAAACTTAATTCATCTCTGTGGGATGAATATGGGAGCTGGAGTCCCATTAGATGTATGGAATGAAACCTAATACTGTATCCTAAAATTCAATGATAGCCTGTTACTTTTGTAAGTAATTTTAAGCTAATATTAATGGTTTTGTTTCTTTGGGTTTTTTTGAAACCTTTCATATTGGAAAAAGTGCTTATTGCTTTCTAACCTTTTCCATGTGTTTGAGAAATATCCTTAAGAACTCTTACAAACTCTATGGCAATTAAGGAAGTTTGTGTCTTGCACAGTGATACAGGTCCTCCTTTTGGCTTCACTTTTTTTCAGTATGAAACAAGGATGCCTATATTTGGAAATTAAGATTTCTGATCCTTATCCTGTTGCTGCAGAACAGGTATTTTTAGCTTCCAGATTTATAACTCACTTAAG